AAGGCTGTTCTTGTGGTTGTTTTTTTTTTTTTTTTTAAAACAATAAAGGTGAAAAAGACTTATTGTTGTTTTTTGAAAAAGAGTAACGTATTTCCTAGTTCCTTTTCCGGATTTTTTGTAGGTAGGTATTTGTATTAAATTGTGGAAGTTAAAGTTTTTTTTTTTGTTTTTTTTTTTTTTTTTTTTTAGTGTGGAAATTATTAATAGGTATTTACGTGTAATAAAACGCCGATTTACTCTTGAAGTCGGAATAAAACAATACAGTAAAAATCTTCTAACGATCAGGTGACTGTTTGAAAGTTCCACACTATCACGTGACTATTTCGTCGCTGAACCCTGACACCCTCTTGTTACTTGACTGCGTAAAAATAAGAAAAACCATTACCAACCTGCCTCATCAACGTGGATTGGCTTATTGTACTAATTAGGGAGCTTACTTAACGATGACTTAGGAAGGAAGCGTTTCTTGCTTGTGATAAAGCCGGCATAAACTCGAAAGCCTGAGCGAGGTTATTTGCCGATAAACTTGAAGGGCGACAAAGGAAAAAAGGAAACAAAACAAAGCCTATGTCACGTTCCTAAGAAGACGACGTAAAATTAGTTGATTTTAGTCCATGCGTGTACATTGTTAGCTTGCGTGGTAGGCGTTCGGAAGGGAAAGGAAAGAGGATCAGTTCGGGCACGAGAGAAGCGCGAAGGGCGCGCGAGGAGCTCCCTTCCCCTTCCCTTTCGAACGCCTGTCACGGAGGCTAGTACATTGTTTTCGGCCATGAATTGGTAAGGTCGGGGTGAGATCGGAAAATCTACGTGATATGCGTTGCTTACTCAGTTTCTTGTGTTGTGTCTTACAGAGTTCCATGGAAACGCAGGTCGAGACAGATCAAGCAGGAGAAACCCAATGAGTACGCTACAAAACACCGGAGTTAAATCGTTTGTGGAAAAGACAAATTGCTGCTGTTGTCAAGCGTTCTAACGATTAGATATCATATATTACTTTAGTATATACTAAAGCAGTGGATAATGTTTTTCGCGCCTTTCAACGGATATCCAGTGCCATTCACTGATTCACCTCCTGTTCCTCCACGCGAGCGACGCCAAACTCGCGTAAGTTACGAGCAAAATGGTTTCTCGGTTTGCCGCCGTGACAAACAAATAAATTTCACAAATAATCAAACAAGTCGTTCCCGAAATACACGAAGGTGACGAAATTCGGCTTGGCAGTTTTAACCGGTAAACCTTTGTTTGGTTGAGTTAAAACCGGTGAAAAAGGTTTTGTTTACAAATGGAAGAAATTAAGCTTAAGTCTTGCGTTACTTTATTTAGCTGACATGTTCATAAATAAGTGGAAAACAAAATTACAGAATGGTTTTAAATACAAAGAAAATTCAAAAATCCTTTTCTAGAAATTTCCCTGAAAGAGCTAAACAAATGCCTTCAAAAGTTTTATTTGTCGGCAAGAAAACGCGACGGCCGTTCGGTGATTGTATAGAGTGTTTTCACATGACGTCACGGCGGCCATATTGGTGTCCCAAAACAATGAAACGGCGGCCATGTTGGTGTCCCAAACCAATACTGTGGGAGTTGAACTCTTTTCTTATGCAAACGCTTTCTTTTGTTCCAATAAATATGTATAGATGCTGGCCACATGAGTGAAAACACTCGATATGTGCTGAATTATCTCACTGTTTTTGTATATACTAAAACAATTATTAACCTGGGTGTTGGTGACTAGTGGTGGAAATTTACTTCGCCGCTTGGCGGCTCGCTTTCAACCCTTGCCACCTCCACTTCGGAGTATCCATTGGAGGGCAAACACGACCTGTGCTTCTTTTCACTTATGGAGTATTTAACGAGTCCTTTAACTGTACCACTATCGACTTCAGTAGTTTACTTTATCACGCGTTACCGATATATAAATATAGGCAAGTATAGTCTCCCAAAGGCTCCGAAAACAGACGCTTCTCCTCGCTCCTCGCCGCAAGGGACCGTCGCGGGCGAATCGGTCAATGCAAGTATTAGAATTATATAAAAAGGCAAACTCCATGATATTTTTATCTTTTGACAAATGCAAACATAACTTTACGAAAAATGCTGTTGTGACGAGATATATCATTTATACTCAAGAGAAAAACGTCTGATTGTTTGCTTACGTTGTACAGACCAATCTATAATAGCAATCTGGAAGTATATAATCACAGTTCAAATGCGTCCAAGATTTTGTAGATAATAATATAAACAGGAATTACAAAAGAAATCGTAAGATAATAACAATAATGACAAGTACAGATCAAATTAAGAAAGAAAAATATGCTTCATTTCCTAAATAAATTCTCAGGAGATAATTTTGAACATACTATTTTTTGAAATTATGTAAGAATCAAGTGTTTGCGGTTATTTGTAGTCTTGAAATTTTGAATATCCATACTTATGCATGAGTTTTTACTATACTCGTGTAATTTTTAAAGCCTCGTCTATATGAGCAGGTTGTTCTGACAAGTTTTTTTTCCTGTTACTATTGATGGTAAAACATGCGAGGGGCTCAGCGGGGCTCAGTTAATTAGGTACAAAGGAAATGTAAATGGAACTGTATAAATACTCAGTTCTCATTACCAAGTGACCTGTTTGTAAAAACAAATGCAGTTTGGCAATATCATGTGTTTTTAGCGGGATTTTTAAGATTCTTTAACTGAGAACTGAAATTTTAACAGCCTCTTTTGAGCCTTTTATATTTATTTGGTTGTCATATGCTTTTCATTTTCAAGGAACTGGGGTATCTAAATGTTGGGTGATTTGCTTACTTTCTATTAAAAGTCCAACTTACAAGATAATTAGTGATTCCTTTTGTGTTAACTGTTATGGACGATTTTTAGCTGTTACTTTTATTTAAAAAAAAATTCAAACGCAGTCAAGTGGTCTTTGGTGATTATGTGGTAACTCCTGAGACTGAAAAGCCTCGTGTAGTGCGAAATAACCAACAACGCCTTCACCATAACCCCCGTCCTCAACCAAATCTGAACTGACGTTACTGAAATTCAAATTTGATTGACATTTGTAAACTACTGTTTTAGACAATGTACAACTGCAATGAACAATCAGAGTTATTGAAACGACAAACAAGTTGTAAATTTTCTTCAATAGACCATTCTACATATAGCTATAGTATCCTAGCCTTTGAGTAAACGTGAAGCTAAGGTTGACCTTGTTTTGATGTAAACCTTTTTTTTTTTCTTTTATTATGGATGATATGCTAAAAAGATTCTTTTTGGCATAAGAAAAACTTGATTTAGATAATAAAGCAATAGGGATGTATCAAAACAAGGTCAACTCCAGCCTCGTTTTCACCTGTATCTATTAGCTATTCGCGTTCAAAGTCTGGTTTGTTTCAACCTCAAACTAAAAGCCCCTTTGACCACGTTATTCACATGCCACTTGAAGTGACAAGAACCATTACCGCGATTAATTTCTTGTCAAATTATCTTTACTTTGTGCTTCCTCCCACTCATTTTCCTCAAACTCTTCATTAACAGATTCAAAGATAAGGCACCTCAACACGCCAGGAGGTTGTAAAGTATTCTTGATCATTCAGATATTTTCGAAAACTGGCCTTCTTTTCTTTTGTTTTTGTTTTTGGAACACTTAAAAAGCTACGTTGTAATTTAAGCTGCGCTTTTAAAGGTTCCACGAGATTTGCATGATCTATGAGTCCCGGTTTTTTAGGTTCTACAAAGTCTACAGGATCTGCAGGGTCTTGATAAAGGGTCTGTCGGATCAATGACTTCTTTTGCAATACCTTCTGGTTCTACAGAATCTATACGGTCTATGCGATGTAGATTCTTATGTGGCATATATGTGCTCTTCACAATTCTATTAAATGCGTAAAGAGAGGTTATTTTGGAGATCTTTGGACATGCTTACAGTGCCTACAATTAGAAACAGACAAAATGTTTGTGTGTCCAGTGTTACACATGATAGCCTTTTGTCTGAAAAAAAGTAATGGTTCATCATCCTAACCTATTCTACTTCCGCCAAAATATATAACGTTCTGTTTAAAATCTTTGAAGGTTTTTGTATCTGTACTACATCTGAATGATGCACTCATCACTGTCAATTTGTTTTGCTTGCATGACACTGCCTCCTTTAAGGTGCACCTCGTCATCTACGCGAATTTCTATTAACAAGGAAAAAAATAAGTACATAAAATTACAGTTATCAAGTCTATATATAGGATAGCACAAAGTGGCGTTAAAGCACCAACAAACAAATGGCCCTCCGAACAGTTACAAATGAATAAGAATCAAAATATAAGAAATTGAGAATAACATTAAAGTTTACAATTTAAGTTAAAAACCACTGCGGAAAAGTATTAAACGAGACTAAACATGCACGTACTTTATTTAAAGATGTAGAAAAAATTGATTCGTAAAAATCCTTTCTAAAAAGAGTTTTTGAAGGTATTGAGAGTGCTTAATAATAAATTAACATTGCAATATATACAATTTGAACTGAAAAAAAACGCCGTTCTTTTTCAAAACTTCGGTCCGACATAAAATGTCTTATTAGAAATCTACCTGTCAGGCTACGAAGGCATCCAATATATGGCACCATGCAGAATCTATCATGAGGTTTAATAATTTGATGGGAGAGGGTGTCGTAAATGGGGATTATATATGATCTCATGCAACTTCCAACTTTTTGCTTCATATAGAAACTAGACATTTAGTATTCAGTTGGCGTGGAGCAGATAAGTAAAGAAGCAAGTTACATTAGCAACATACCATTTCTGTATTTCTGAATCCGTGGCAGTTGTGGCATCTGTATGAAGAAAGCGTCACTATTAAGCGTGGAGATCGTGTGACATAATTTTGAACTTAAAATTCTTAACCCGAGGAAACTAAGAATTAGGTGCATTAAGGTAGAACACCTCAGTCGATTAAAAGACAGATAATCACAATTACACCACAGCGCATAAGTTGATGTGCTCGTGCAAAAATAGTAGTACTTCATTTAAGTACCTTTTTGATTGCAGAACTTGCATACATCACAGTTTGATTGGATGGCTCCTGAGCCAAAGTCACCATGACAAAAAAGGTATTTTTTCCAGGGTTTGTAGTTGGATGAAATATCAGATCACAGCGAGGGATGACGTCAAAAGAACTCCTCAAAAAGCTGTTCCTTAGTTTCTGGAAAATATCAAGAGGTGCAAATTAATAACAATGTCCTGTAAGTGAAAAAAAAAGGTGCCAAATGATTAATAAGGATGAAGTGGAAACTCCCTTAAAACTATAGAAAAAAAAAAGGAAAAGCAATACATAAGGAAGCACCGTAACGAATTTGATATTCACGCCATAGTAAAAATCAAGAGAGATTAAAGACTGTTGTTATTGGCCTTTGTTAAATGGGTATTAAAAACTCAGTGCCGGATTTTTTAATTTTTTTATGTGTGAAATCAAAACTGGATGAAAGTTGTGATGAAATTGTTTATTTTCACGTACTACAAAGGTATCTACTGTAGAACATCAAAACATAAGTACTGTTTCCAAAATTAATCATTGCTGTTCTACACTGACACACTGGTTTTGATTCGTCACAACACAGACGTTTTAAACGGCAGAGAGCTATCTGTAAGTCAATAGGGTACAAAGTTAGTGTTTATCTGGATATAGAGGAATTGTGATAATATGCTTAGTGTAAAATTTTATCCCAGAAATGAATGGCCATATGTGCTACCATTAAGGAGGGCTGATGCAGCTGCCATCCCTCAGTATCTTTTACTGTAATCTCCACGTCTTTTTCACTGGTAACAATAAAGTCAAGTGACTCAATGGATGAGATAAGTTTTCCTCCCTCTCGTTTCTCTTTCTTCATAAGTTTCTATAAAGGTAACGAGGTAAAGAGAAAAAAAAAGACAAATAATCAAGCTTTCGTTTCACTAACACAAACATAAAATAGCAACTCAGTTTACCTCATCAAGGCCTTAGGAAAGGGGCATATTTGATAGCATGCTTTAATACTGCATTGAAGTTTGTCTCTTCCTTGGAAAGCTCCATTAAAAGAACGGTGTGAGAGTTTTCGATCGCCGTTTCCTCGTGATATGAAAAGGTGGGCTGGTAAATCATTATCTTTACATGTTTTCACCATAAATAAACAGAACATCAGTTATAATACATTCGCTGCAGCTGGAATTAATAAAGATCTCCAATTGTTTTTTCCCGGAATGGGTCAAGTGCACTCTACAGAGAACCACCGGGTTAATACATACCTCAAAAGAATATTCACAGTCGTCAAAGCAATACACCCTCATGGTAAGGTCTTTCCCAATGCTTGTTTCACTGCAAAAAGCTGCCACCTTCATTCGTTTGAATGCTGGCAGAAAGTGGTCTTGTAACTTTCCAACAACTACGAAGGTTAAGAGACGATCGGTCTCGAAGCTTACATGGTTACTTTTAGGGCTAAAGCTGTGAATCCCCTGTCCATTTTGGCTAACAGTGACCCATCTGTTGTTCAGCAGCGTTTTCAGCATGACATTCCACTTTGAACGTGAAAGAATCATATTTGCCCCATGGGGTATCTGAACCTCGAAGGGTCCATCATTTTTGCTAGTTGAAATAAACGTTATTACAGGACTTAGTTGAATTTCGTCCTCTTTGAGAAATCCGTGCTTGGTTGAGTCTGACGTGGCCTGTAAAGCTAATCGATTTGAGAAAGAGTGGTCGGTCGTTTTATTTTTGCAAAGAGCAATAACTTCAACTCCTGTCTTCTCAAAGAACAAATGACCAGTGTTTTGTTCTGCAGGATATTCCAACTCCATCTTCCTGGGACCTGGAAATTACAAATCTATACTGAGACCAGTGTGAACAATCTCGATCATGGAATTAAGGAGACTAATAAACGATGATGGCGACTGTAGTGATAATGACACTTACTGGATAACTTCGATTCTAAGTTGTCTTTGTGTTAAGTGTGCATGTTATTTATTGTATATATATTTGACTATTTTTTTTGGTTTCTTTCAGTTGTTTTGTATTTATAAACTAGCCCAAGCAAATGTTACATTTCCCTCTTTCTGACACTCGATCAGCCTTTTATTATCCTTAATCAACTCGTTACTCCACGATGGCGTGAATAGTTACTTTTCGTTGTTGAAATTACCGACGAAGACGGCTGCGATAATATGAAAGGAAGACCCGAGATTGAAAAAAAAAGAAAAGGCAACAATTTGATCAGTTGAATACCACCCACTTCCAGCCCCACCAAAAACAAACACATGAAGGTAACCGCAACTTAAAGGGTCTTAGATGATATCACAAGAATATATTTTTGTTTAGGTCAATTATGTTCTGAAGTCATTACTTAGTGACTTTACCCGAGCAAAAAAAAAAGGCTCCTGTAGAGTTATGAAGATATGAACCGAATTTCATCAGGAAGCACTAACACATACATACTGGTTATTTTTAGAGGTGAGGGAGGCATAGCCTTTAGATATGAAAAAGGTGGCCCTATGGTCTGAAGTTTCAATCTACGTCCATCCTTTCCATTCGTTTCAACAGACGACAGGAAACAGTTGTAATGCTCAAATACAGCCTTGAATACAAAAACTGGACCGTTATTTTTGGAATTCAATTGAAGCGAAGACCCAATTTAGCTTTTTAAAAAGAGTAAATAGCGTGACATAGCCCCTTAAAACAAATGTGACGCTGTGTAACTCACCTTGAGGATCCTCAGCAGTTTCTGGTGTAATCTCGTGTTGCTGTGGTCTCTGCAAAGGAGTCACTAGTTCTGTAGTCTGAAATGGACTGGGAGGGTCTTGCACTTTACTATTTGTATTATGTTTGCTTGTAGTGACGAAGTTGAAGGCAAAATAAGAGACAAATATGATCATTATAAAACCTGTGGTCAGAGTCCATGTATTCAGCTCCCACAATGACTTCAGACAATACCTTCCATAAGCGCCAACAGATTGCTGGGTGTTTCTAAACAAAGACAAGTGTATGTAGTTGGTTATCCCACTGAACGTTCCTTCTTTTATGCATTGCATTATTGCGTCACTATCACTAAGGCTACAGCACAGAAAACATTCCTGGCAACTTCCTGAAAGTGGGTTATAGTAGAATCCTTCTTTACATCCGCCACAAGAGGTATCGGATTTGTGGGAACAATTAGCAACCACTCCTTGTCCAGGAGGACAGATGCTACAAGATTGTATTACTCCTTGAAAATTAAGAAATGTTTTTCCCAAGGTAGGAAGTTCACACCCAATAAACTTGTCTTCACTAGTAATACTTCCACAAGGTACAGTCAGGCCCATGTTTTTTGAGCATATTGGGCAGAGTTGACAGCTATGCCGCTTTCCATCACGATTTAGAACTGTAATCTCATCGTACCAACATTTAGAGGCACATGATTTCCTTTGCTGGTAGCTACATGTTTGACTGCGAGGTAACCCCTGACTGACACACTGCGTGACAACCTCATCTGCTCCATCAAAGAAACAACAGCTTGAACAAGGGAGGCATCTGGAGATGGTCTTGTTGCGGTAGTAGCCCTTAGGACAAGGTTTGCAGCTACAACGTGTATCGGAGACGTTGGTACAATTTGCGACAATTTCCTCATCAGGGAGACACTTCGAGCAGGTTTTACAACTCTCAGAGGACACTGAGTCGGAATACTCCCCTGGTAGACAAGCTTTACAAGTCATAGAGGTGCCAGAGGGTACATGACCAGTATTTCTACAAGGTAACGTTACGCCGAATCCTGGAGGACACATTGGACAGTTTCCACAAGAGAGGTCACCACTTGGCAATTTGACCACAAGCTGGCCATCTAGACAAAGTAGTGCGACGGACACTTGGATGGCCTGAAACAAGACATCATTTGGAAGGAAATAGTAACCTGACCGAGTCGAAAATAACTAGAATACATCACGAAAATCTGCATGAGTAGATAATTGAGGTAGTCTACAGATGTGAAATTCGCTGAATAAACAGTTTTACCAATTGCTAAAACGAGTTCTATTCAAAACATACGCCAAATTTAATTCGTTACAGACGAAATAATGTCTACTTACATTAACCGCAATTCTCTACCTGTCTAGATTAGCCCTGCTATTTCGGCGGGTAGAGAAAATTCTCCTCTAAAATACTGAAGTAAAGTTGAAACTTGAAAACTTGAACTATAATGCAAGAGGAAAGGATACTAACCTGGAAGCTGATTAGAAATATACATCTCATTTTACGGATCCAGGGGTCGTTCAGTTCAGTGGACCAGCGATCAAAAGCGGTAGTTTTAAATGTCGAAGTAGCTGAAACCTCAGTATCAGGTAAGGAAAGTCACCCACTGTTGAATCGCTACTCTACAGATAAATATGTTGAAGATATAAAATGGAACCAAAACGGTAATTAACTTGCCTAGACAAGCTACTTTCGATTTCAAGCGTAACAGGAGCAGGTCTCTGGTTGCGCATGTAAGTTTAAATAAGTAAATAAGTGGACTTAAACACAATCACCTTGACGACAAAAAGTCAATGACAGATACTTCCAGCCAATCAGAATTTCTGCAAACAATCATTCTGACATGTGCATTATATTTCTCACCAATCAGAACTTAGTAATGGTGACGCGCGACTTACAGACTCGCACAGGTCATGACGTCAGAGTAGGCCTTTAAAAAACTAGCGAACACTGATTCCACGAATTTCAGAACTAAAAGCGAACAGCGGAGAAGTGGCAAAAATCTCATCGTGGAAAAGGAAGAAATAATGGATAAGACAACGAAAAATACGGTAATGTTCAATAGTTTTTTTCGATGTTTCGTCGATGACTTTGCTCTACCTTTAAGGTTAGGAAATTATAAAACAAGAAAGCCGCCAATTGATAATTCTCTTTCACTTTCGAAAAGTCATACGAACACCATTCAAAATTTAAGAATTCCCGATAAAAGACATGGAATATGACTCATAAGGGTTTCGGTTTCTTTAAAATATCATTCCCCTGAAGAAATGGATCATTTGTTGTAGGTTTGTTATGATTTATATGTTATTAGAATACTTGTAGCTTCTACTGTACGGAACCGGCAGTGAGACCCCGGAAGCTAATGAAAATACTGTATGGCAATATATGTCTCTCTGGAGTGCGTCTTTGTAACTGAATGTTTCACGTTTTTCAGAATCTATTCCATGTTACATGCCAATGTACCGAGGGTCCAGCACTTAGTGACAGAGGAACACGCTGCCAGCGTTGTGGAAAGATGGCTTATGAAAGTGAAGAAAATTCGCAGCTCGAACATGCTAGGGAAATCGATAGTTCCGCTACGACCGTTTATCATTCACAATTGCTTGCAAGTGGCTTACCATCTCTACCTGCCGAGTCAGACCCGTCTGGCGAGGGTAACAACTGTGCGATTGGCGAAGGAGTTAATGTTTCGGATCAACATGGTCACTCATCTGCGGAAAAGAGTCCCGTCCACAGTAAGTCACGAATGAACGAATAACAACATTCCCCCAGAATAGCAACATTTATTAAATTTAAAAATCTCCAAACATCTCTGAATGAATTCGTTACAATATCATGAGAGGCAACGATAAGCGTGGTGGTAAGAATAATAACAACAGTATTGTGTTTTGTCTATAGCAGCATTTGAACAAATGTCGTGCTCGAAATGATACACATTCAATATACTTAGTTTGCACTTACCTGTGAGTAATGTCGTAGTTACGTCGATGCTACTGTTTCTCTAACATGTTCAGTCCGCCGTAAAAAAAAAACTATTAAAATGTACATTCGTAATTACGTGAAATGCTTAAAGCTATTCGTCCTTCATTTCGAGGATAAAGCCGGTTTTTTAGCGCCTAAGTTGACGGAATATTTCTAGAATACATCTTTGGTTTATTTTATTTTAGATGAGGGTAAGATCATAGAGGTGAGGTCTACTCTGTCAATACTGTGCCAAGAGCTATGCTTAATTCTTTTACCTGTCATGGTCAGCTCTCATTATCTTTTCTACAGGTCAAACAGGTCCATCAGTACAAATACCATGTGAAGGAACACAATTCACTTTCTTCATCTTAGTTCAAGAACATCCTGCAATAAATGAACAATGGTTCGGGGTACACTTTGTGCCTACAGAACGTTTTGAGCAGGTAGGATTGATCATTGTTTCCATGATAATGTGATAACATTAATTTAACGCGTTTTCCTTTTTTTGACCAGGTTAACTTACTGGCTTCTTGGGAAAATCGTAGACTTGTTTATACCTACACTTGAGGTTTCAGGTATAAAACTGAGATCCCATGCAAGGGTCACCATTATATAAGATATCAAGCCTCGAGAATACAGCGGACCGTCCTCGACTATGGGTTGCTGTAAATTTGTGACGCTAATGTGTTTAACTCCAAATTTAGAGTGAATATTTCAAAAACAATATAATGTAATAACTTCGTAAAACCGTGATCATCATTTACTGATTTAGTATTTCTATTTATTCTTTGTAAAAAAAACCGGAACCTACAAAGAAAGGAAGTTTTAAGTAAAGTAAGTAATTACTTTTCTTTCCATTTTAGGGACGAATTTCTAACCTGATTAAGACGATGCAGGATCAACAACGCATCAGGATAGTCTGTATGGGGGATGAATATTTATCCCAGGTCGAAAGTGGATATTTTCACACTGTGTTTATCGACACCGATGTACATTCTACAATCACTTTTGAGTTGGTGAAGGAAATAAAATTTAGAATAAGGGATGTTCAAACAGCTTGCAAGGTAAGACCCTGCAACTGGTGATTGTTTTGTTACGGTTAAGGTGGGAAGGGCAAAAGAAACGGTTAACTGTAAAGGATTTTTCAGAAATTGTGTTGTTCTTTTGTAACTGCTATTTACGTTGAAAAATATTTTTTTTCCTTGGTTTGACTTAACATATCTGACACATACACAACTGTTTCTATCACAGGTTCCTTTGCACAGACTTTATGCGCTAAGCCAGGATAGATTGCCTAGTGCCATAGCCAGGGTGTTTGTAGAGTGCCTTGCTGATATCAATGAAACTTGTCAAGACCATTTGAGGATGACTTTGAAGTATGGGAACGTCATTCGCCCGATGGTTATTCCAATTTGGGTAAATTTGATCCATTTTATCAGCCAATTTTCTTAAAAATATATCTGCAAATATACTTTAGACAGTCTTTAAGATCTGAATTCCGAAATAAATTTTTTCACTTTTCACAAAAACACATTTCTAGGCACAATCAGGAGCAGTAAGGCAGAATTTATTAATTTATGAATTTTCTTCTTTTAAGTTTCACCTCATACAGTACGTCAATTCGCATGACTGCTTTTACCCTAATAATGTATTATGAGAAAAATTAATTTTGTTTCATTCTATTTCAGTCTTTACGGCGAATTTGGGTCTGATCTGGTGAGTAAAAACGTCTAAACAGGGGCCGATAGACAGTTAACTGAAGTTTACTGGGTTACATGTTCAACTGGAACATGTGGGGTGGAGAGAAAAGATGAGTCCTGGCGGACATTTTTTCCATATAGGATCTACTGTAAAGGCTATTTAGTAAGAAGGAAGCTTGATAACGTTGCTTACTGGTCACCTAACAAGGATTATTTCTTGAACTAAAAATTGGTTTACAGTGTTAATGTTAATGTTACAAAAAGAGATAAGGTGTCTCCAACGTCTCAGTCACCAAACAGTGACCAGACGTCTGAAAACAAACCTTAAGTGCAAAATAAAATAACTGTTTTAATTCCGGAAATCATCCTTTCTTTTCGGTACATGTTGTACTTCAATTTTATTCTTGGCTTAACTTTCTTTCTTCTGTTTTGGATTATGTTAGCCGATATGATAATAAGCTCGAAACAAAGGAAAGTATAACCACAACACATTAATTTTTTGTGTATTTTCATATTTAGCCAACACCTGAGAATAGGAAGACCCAGTAACCTAACGAATGAAAACACAGTCGACATTGGTTACCACACTCTGTTATCACTGGAACTATTTTGTGCTAACGTTTAGTAGAAGCAAACTATCTTTCCATCAAGGTGGTTATCCTGTTAGGAGTTATTATACCTTTCCCCGTTGTCAAATTTTGACTACAATAATGGGTTGCAGTAAATGAAAGCTCTTTAGAAAGCAATATTCCTACTAAACTCCGTGTGCTTCGTTTCCTTAATAAAAGGATTGTCTTAAGAGACACTCACTGACGTGGGAAAGGTATAATAATAATTAATGGTGTTTAGCTATTTCTTTCTCCTGTTACACATCAGTGCTGTACGTAGAATATCTGCTGATACATAGTTTTTGCTCTGTGTAAGCTCTTGTGTAGAATGGACATAACTTGTCAATTCAAGAGTGCACAGGAACTTAATGAACATGTGTATTTTGTAAGTTTAGATAAGGAACATTAGAAAACAAGTTAAAGGCTAAGGCAGTTTAACTCAGGTACAGAAAATGTTCTGTGCGTGGTAATAAACCTTGTGTGCTTTCTCTGTAAGGTACTAACGCACACTATTTCAGTAACTGAAGTCGAGGAAGCAAGCTTCCTGATTAAGCGTGAGTGAAATGTAACATGGGTTACCTGTGAAACATTAATACATGACGTCCAAAACAAATTTCTTTCCATTTTTGGTAGTGTTGTTAAAGACGTTTTTGCCTCGCCATCCACGTTTTGATATACGTGGAAGACGCAGGTGTCAAGAGAATGTTGAGATGAGAATCTTATCCAGTTTATGATAAAGAAGTTGTAATTGTGCTTGCCTTGAGCAAGCTGAACCCGACCTTTTTTAGGAATTCCACACCTTTCCGAACATTTATGGATAGACAGTTTTAACAGAACAATTAAACTTGTTCTGTTATAAGGGACAGGAACCTAGCGCGTATCGTGTTTTTCTTCCAAAAAGGATTTGTTCTAACAGTGCCCAGTAGCCTGAATGAGCTTCGGTTACTAAATGTCTTCGGACGAAATTTAAAATCTAGTTTTGGATTAGATCTGGCCGCCCTGTGTTTATTTTTTACCTTTATTTAGAGACAAGAGATTGTAATCATTTTGGTATGATATAAACAAACCTAGCATGCTTAGAGGGCTGTAAAGAAATTACTTCCGTGTCTCCAAAGGCAATGTGGAATTCTTAAAAAAGACTCTTACTGTCAGAACAACAAAACCAAACATATTTGTCAGCAAGTAAATCGTACCTTTCTTGAGAATATTCAGTTTATAATAGTGAAGTTTGGGTACCGTTAAGTTACAATATGCATGCTTTTAGTAATAACGATGATAATTATTACTGGTTTTGTGAACTGACAGTTGCACAAATATATGGCACACCAGTACGTGCAGTACACCCTGTCCTGCTCCCCACTAGAGGATAGGGAACTGATGATGACAGCCAGTTCATTTCTGTGATTAACAAATTAATGCCATAGAAATGTACGGTTATTGATTAGCTGTGGGTCTGTGCGTGTGACATATATTTGTGGCATTGGAGAGTATTATGCAAATCTATTTTAGGTGACCAGTTTGTCACTTGTTTTTGCATGGACCTTAATGGCTTTTTGCATGGGATACCGGTCAAAATTTCCACCATTGTGGAGGCGTTGTTATACAGCAAATATAGCTGCCGAAAATTCGGTCTTGGAAGTTATACTGGTTCTTGCTGGTGGTAGAGTAATTTTGAGTTAATTCCGGTAATAACGTGGAAAAGTGGGTAAAATAATTCCATTAGAAACGACTGTCTCATTTGAATTCGCACCGAGCGAAAGTTTTCAGACGTTTTCTAAATACAAACAGGTGTCCTTTCTGCCTGTAACTGAGACGGTTTAATTTACTCATTTCATGTAACTTTCACCAATGTCTTGCTTTAGAATTGCAAAAGTGTTGTCATTTTCCTTTAAATAATAGTAATAATAATAATAAGGGAAACTTTATTTGTGTTTTTGAATGTACAATTGTAAATCTCGCTACGTATAGGCAATTCACAAATGACAAAAACAAAAACAAAACAAAACAAAAGCCAAAAACAAAAAATCAAAATTGCATTAAGTCTGGACTATCCCAGTTCCTATTTCTATAACAAAAGATGTAAAATGTTGCTCTAATGGCTATATTTATCATTTTCTTGATTATATAACGTTGCTGCTTTTTGTCAATGCCAATGTCATTCATCATGTCTAAGAACGTGGAGCATTCATAATAATAATAATAACAATAATAATAATAATAATTGAAATAATAATAGCCACAACCCTTATTTAACAATTGCGTTGCCTCTATTGTGAACGTTGTTTTTCCTTTGAGAGTTTCTTGACTCGAGACTGAGTTTCTACTGCACTTTTATTAATGTGCATACTTCAGACTTAAATAATAAAGAGAAAACAACTGGTCCCCTACAACAGATTTGCATAAGACTCTTCAAATGTATATAATTTGTAAATAAAAGGTGCTAAGGTTTTTAACAGGTTCAAATACTGGCTTGTGTTGAATGTGTACTACTACAGCAAAATACCATTTGACTAATAATCGGTGTTTTAACGTTCCTTCAAAAAGTTCCGAAACTATTGTTTTAGCTTGACGTTCCTACGATCTAAAGCAGGCTTCAAATTTCCACTTTCGATGCTTCAGCTAATGTATTAAACTTTATATATGTTATGTTTTTGTCATCCGTATGCTAGACCTTTCACTTCTTAATTTTCCAAGTCAAAGCTATTTTAAGTGGGTGAAATAAAATCGTCTGGGTGAGTGTCACTCAAAGTCAACAATATTCCTATTCAGGACTTAAATCACCTGGACGATCATATTCCATCATTTTATGGCAGGACTTGTGGGTTCAAACCATTTATTATGTCTAAGCAATCATTTGTAAAGCAGTACACGGCACAGTATTTGAACCTCGCTTTTATGCTGTTTTAGGAAACGCGTGCTCAGATTAGTTAATAGGGAGCTATAGCAACGACGACAGCGATGGCAAAAGAGCAATAGGTTTAATTAGTGAAACAACAACTCGTCACGTGCAGCACACTTTTGCTGTTGCTGAACGATCACCAGGTAACTTTGTCTTTCTTCTTTTAAACCTGGGTTTGGTCCGTAACAAATCATCTCCAGCGAAATTCACCTTCATCATCAGCGACGTTCTAATCGAGTTGGAATATTTTCGACAAAGTTTGGAAAAACGCGATGTCTTTTAAAAGCGACGTTTTTCAGCCGTTGCCGTTGCTAAAGCACCCTAATGTTACTCTTCTTTAGAAAAATGGCCATGTTAAAAGTATTTTATCTGCTGCTTAGAAACAAGAGAAAAGATACTTCAAATCTTAGAGTTTTTGCTTGCCTTAATTGCTATATTTTAGTTTACTTTATGGGTAATATACTAAGCTTACAGAATAAATAATTGTTCGAGTGAGTGAACTGTTTCCTTCTTTTAAATAATGATTTTATTAGTTAAATGGATAACTTTCAAATGGTTTCATTGTCTGCCTATAACAAAAACTTTAAAAGTTAAAAATACCGAAATGTCTGACTAAATAGGAATACTAAAAGTAATGAAATAATATTGAAAATTGACCCCCTTTGCAAGGCCCTAAACTACAAAAACGAAACAACGACACCCTTTTTAAAGAAAACCGAAAAAGGAAAATGGTTTGTGGATACGTCGTTTTTATTTCTCCTTTCTACTTGGACGGACATTCTTGACTGAAAAATAGAACTTTGGAGAAAAGTTAGTTACAGTCAAGCTAGGTCATGCGTACCCCCCGAGACGCAATTAAGAACTTGTTACTCGAAAGTTGATCCCGTTAGTAGTTGTAGATTTCAGATTCATCTCTGCATCCCTGCATACCTTACTTGTATTAAAATTCGCGTCGTACTTATAATTTCCGCTCAGCTTTAAATTCGCGCGATTTACTTTCGCCACCTTGTTAAGACTTATTCGCGCAAGTAATTTTCCGTGTTCGTTCTTTTTGGTTTGTTTAATAGAGCTATTAACAATTAACGTATTTATAATGAGTGTTTTTTATCAACAAATACTACAATATTTGTCAAAACTTAATCAAAAGCGATCAGGTGGCCCTCAAAAAATGCCTTCAAAATTATGTAAAATTATGTAATATTTAATGCAAGCAAAATTCAACTTAAAACATTAGTCAAATGTGTATATGCGTTAATAAATCAACTGATTTGCATTACTAACAATGAGTGTCATTACACCACAAAGGTTTTCACGCGGATTATAATTCGCCCAGTACTAAAATTAACGCACCCAGCGCTCACCCATCAATCACGCTCGCCCATTCTATTCTCTTTTTAACTGTTAAGACATTACTTTTAAAAAACTTTATAGAAGGACGTCTGTGGGCAGGGAATACGTCAGCACAGAATGTAATTATCAGCGAATTTCTGTAATCGCCCATCGTTCTGCTAGTGATAAACTAGCCGTTGATTCACTAGTCTTGTTTTTTTGTCGACTGAGTTTTATTCCCCCAAAGAGAAAGAAAGAGTGTCTGGCAGATTGTTTCCAATCAAAGATTTGTGAATGATTAACTCATGTCTGGCAAACTATCCAAGTTTTTACACATGTATATATACTGTTATACGCACCTTATGTCTTCATCTGCGCTTAACGAATGTCTTTTGGTCCATAACTTTCAAAACAGTTGCTCCACAGAATGTCTCTGATGGTAGATTGTTATTGCCGTATCTAAACATGAACGAACCAATGGAGCTCAATGGCTTCATTATTTATAACATCTAAAGGTGAAATCAATAGTTCTTTGAAGAGGACCAGTATGGTTTAATTTCGAAAAAGTAATGATCCTTACAATTTTCTTTTGTAGCCTTCTTATTGGTTCTAGTCTTGTTGTGTACGTATTTCCCCATGCAATGTTGCGATAACTTAGGTATGGGTAGATAAGTGCATCATATAGACTCCGGATAACAACGCGAGGTAAATAAATGTCTTCCTCCACAAAGTATACCAGAAAGTTTTGCAATTTTGCTGCAAACATGACTTCTATATGAACTGCTAACAATCTAGCTGATTCTACCTGTTTGATACCTGAACTGTCTACACCAATGTTAACTTGTTGCTTGTTGCTTTTTTTGCTTTGAATATCAATAATTGAGTCTTTTTTTGCATTCAGAGACAATTTGTCCATTGAACTTAACAGAGCTGTTAAAAACATCAGGAAAAATGCTTTTACATAAAATGCGAGAGAACGTCAAATTTTCTTTAGCCGAGGCTGGACATAGAATGAATATGCTGACCGTCTTTCATGCATCCCATTCCGAGCTGAACTTGACAAGGAACTTAATTAAGAAAGTCCCTAATTCGCCACTCAGCAGGTCAAATAAAAAAAATCGCCCGGCTCCTAGATTTAAAGTTTTCCTGTCATGAGTTTGGGGAAGTTCCCAGCTTATGAGAAGTGTACCAGTCTATCAAAAGATTATTTATAGATAAGGATAAGCGATTCCATCTTTTTTCCAAAATGTCTTTCATCTTTAACGGTTGAGAGATCCTTAATCAGCGCCAGTGTTTCTTTCACCACATGTTCATCTGCAGTGTCACGAAAATTCTTGACGTGTGTCAGGAAGTCAAGAAGCAGATTTCCTTCACTTGATTCTGCATCAAAGACGTCTGTAACATCTATCTCATATTCTTGGTTGAAGACTTCATATCTCCATCCAACTTCCCCAACAATCTTAAATAATTTCTCCACAGTTTTGAAGCTTTCGGGAACCGAATCGCCCGGTTTTCCATACCAGTCAGGAAAACGTTGCTTGTCTAGAACCCAGCAGATGAGGTCCGGCCCACAGACCATGACAAATAAACTGCCGTTAGCATTGAGCTCGTTCTCGATGCAATGACTTAAAGATTCCTCGATGTCCAAGTGGTAGATACTGTGCATGAAGTGGATGACGTCAAATTTCGTGCGTTCTTCTAGTTTCTCAGGTCCTCGTCCTTTATACTCTTGAAAGGTTTGACAGCGAACATCGAAATCTATCTGTGGGTCGTTGACCCTTTCGACTGCAGATTTGTAAAGGTCGCAGGCGTATTCACTTGGCTCGATCGCTCTGTTATAGATCTTTATCTGGTCGCGACCCTGCGTTCGTTGTAGCTCCTCCTTCATAATCTTCAAGATTTCCATGTCCATCTCTCCTGTTCCACTTCCAACGCTCAAGATGTTAAAACAGGATTGATTTTGCGGCAACCTTTGAATCACAGACGCCATATGATAGCGCACGATCTCAATATTTCTTACAAATTCATCGCTTTTTTCCTTGAAAACATCTAAACTCTTGTAGTAATGCTCTCCCGTTTTAACAAACGACGCCATTGCTTCGCCTTCGTTTTCACTCACGTGACAAAAATCTTAGCAACCGTTGGTAGCCGCCATATTGGTGAACCAAAAGTGTAAACAAACGAGGTTGCGTGCTTCAAGTGAAAAAATAAATAAATAAAAATAAAATGGCTTTATTTCGCCCGTTAATACATAACAAACGTTACAGTGAGTGAAGTATATAAATCATGAAAATTGCACAGATTATTTACAATTATCATATAAAACCTGATCAAACATTGGATATCTATATTGTTAATCGGTTAGTGTAAAACGCAGACTGCGGACTAATATTTTCACCATACAAATGACGACGTGGCAACAATAGTCACATTGTTTTCTAACCCTAAAAACAATAGTCCGCAGTCTGCATTTTACACTGCTCCATTGTTAAATCACTAAGTTGTCAGTTAAACCTTGTTCTATTGAAGTAACAATTCTTAAAACGTTCTGTATTAATCCATGGTAATTGAATTGCTTATGATCTTGACCTCTTGGATGACTCTTTGACTTTCGGCAAAAGGGCATATAATGGATGGTTAACATTGTTCTTAATTCTGGTGAACAACCTGCTCTCACACTTTTCTAAAAGGTCATAGATATTAATTGACTCAGAGGTGTAACGTCGCTTAAAAAACATTGTATGGTGTTTAAATCTAACTGGCTGGCTCTATAGACTGGAAGTGCGTACGTGATCTTTGGCAGAACAATAGCCTTAAAGAGGTAATCTATCTCTACCTGCGTGCATCCATCTTTTCTTGGTGATCTTAAAATGTACAAACACTTGTTTGGTCTTGTTTGAAGATGTTATTTTGCTCGATAGTCGGTCGTGGAAGCAAACGCACGCGAGATAAAGGTCTTAATTCTTCTCGAATACCATCAGTGGTTACAAGTCAAGGAGAATAAGCTACCCGGCCACTTCGAAGCTATACCCCTATAACAGTGGCTACGTAGTTTCTCCTAGGCAGCCATTCTTTATCTCGTCACGCAACGCTCCTCCAGACAAAGTAAGATGATGCGTGGGAGACTACGTGAGTACTCATTTTTACCCAAAGCAGTAGTGGATTTTTCACATTTATTCTTAACGGAAAAATATACACAATGCCTCGACATCACTTTAAATCTGATAGTCTAAATCCCCTCGGCGGGATTAAAATTGTTCTCAATTCGTAACAACATTAACTTGGGTGAAATTCGAGATAGATTTACATAACCAGGGTAAGGGTTACGGTTAAGGTTAGGGTTAGGGCTTAGGGTCAGGGGCCCGTTTCTCGAAAGTCCCGGTAACTTTTCGGGCCCGAAAACAAATATTCAAAACGAAATATAAAGAATAAGCGCGCCTGTCCTGGCTAGCAGACTACTCCATTCTGTTTCACTAACTGATAGTTTTATCATGCTAGATGCAAAACTATTGAAACCTCGATCTTTAATGTAAACGGAGACAGCTTACCGGGCCCGTTAATTATCGGGACTTTCGAGAAACGGGCCCCAGGGGACCGGGTAAACGGTCCCTACATCACTACTGGTACGCTTAATGGTGCTAGTTCTTTGAATACATTTAGAAAGTAATGAATCTGGTGTACACCCAGTCATACATTTAAAAGCCATTATTGCATGACGCTGGAAGAGTTGTCTCTTACTGGTAGCCACTGTAAATCTTTAAGTATAGGGGAGATATCATCAAATTTCCTTGTGTTGCTAACGATACGGGCTGCAAAATTTTGCACAGCTTGGATATTATTCAGGTTGTGTTCAGAGGTGTTGCTCCAAACATTACATTATTGTGTATTAGCTTTTCCTGTCATCATTTGGGGAAGTTCCCAGCTTAAAAATGAGAAGACTACCAGTCTCTCAAAACGTTATTTATCCCTGAGATAAGGATAAGAGATTCCATCTTTTTCCAAATTGTCTTCAAGGCCAAGTGGTCCTTCAAGGCGGGTACACCTACAATGCGGGTATCTTCACTACAGCTTCACAGGTCCGCAAAAGGGTCAAAGTAGGTGTACTACTAAATCAGTCAGAACGTTTACTTATAGATAAAAATAAGATATTCAGTCAGTTTTCCAAAATGCCTTTCATCTTTAATGGTTGAGAGCTCCTTAATCAGCGCCAGTGTTTCTTTCACCAACTGTTCATCTGCAGTGTGACGAAAATTCTTACTGTGTGTCAGGAAGCCAAGAAGCAGATTTCCTTCAGTCGATTCTGGATCAAAGACATCAGTAACATCAATCGGAGATTCTTGGTTGAAGACTTCATATCTCCATCCAGCTTCCCCAAGAAACTTAAATAATTTCTCCACAGTTTTGAAGCTGTCGGGAACCGAATCACCCGGTTTTGCATACCAGTCAGGAAAGCGTTGCTTATCTAGAACCCAGGAGATGAGGTCCGGCCCCTCCACCATACAAAGTAAACTGCCGTTTGTATGGAGTTCGTTCTCAATGCAATGACTTAAAGCCTCTTCGATGTCCACGTAGTAGAGACTGTGCATGAAGTGGATGACGTCAAACTTGTTGCATTCTTCCGGTTTCTCAGGTCCTCGCTCTTTATACTCTTGAAAGGTTTGACAGCGAACATCGAAATCTATCTGTTGGTCGTTGACCCTTTTAACAACAGATTTGTAAAGGTCGCAAGCGTATTCACTTGGCTCGATCGCTCTGTTATAGATCGTTATCTGGTCGCGACCCTGTGTTCGTTGTAGCTCCTCTTTCATAACCTTCAAGATTTCCATGTCCACCTCTCCTGTTCCACTTCCAACGCTCACGATGTTAAAACAGGATTGATTTTGTGTCAACCTTTGAATCACAGACGCCATGTGATTACGCACGATCTCAATGGTTCTCACAAAATTATCGCTTTTTTCCTTTAAAACATTTTAACTCTTGAAGTAATGCTCCCCTGTTTTCACAAACGACGCCATTGCTTCGCCTTTGCGTGTAACAAATCACGCAGCGAGGAGTGGGACACGATCATCGTTTTTACTCACGTGACGAAAATCTTAGCAGTAATATTGGTGGACCAAAACTGTAAACAGACGATGCTGCGTGCCGGGTTGCGTGCTTTGCTTGATAGTCGGTTGTAGAAGCAAAAGCACGTACGATAAAGGTATCGATTACCATCAGTGGTTACAAATCAAGGTGAATAAGCTGAAAATTGCCTAACTGCAGAATACCCGGCCACTTCGAAGCTATACCCCAGGTACCCAGCTATTCTTTATCTCATCACGCAACGCTTCTCCAAACAAAGTACGGATGCGTGGGAGACTGTGTGACTACTAACCGTTAACCCTAATCCTAAAATACGCGGGTACGTGGTTACGCAGCTACGTAGCCACGTGGCTACATAGCTACCCTAACCCTAAGCCTCATCTTTACCCAAAGCAGTACTTATACTGGATTTGTCAAATACATTTCACATTTATTCTTAACTGAAAAATTTATACAACGCTTTCACATCACTTTAAATCTGATAGTCTAAATCCCGTCGGCGGGATTTAAATTGTTCACAACTCTCAACAACAATAACTTGGGTGAATTCGAAATAAATCATTTGTCAATATTTACATATCCAAGGCTATATGGTGAATAAAGCAACAAAAGTTGCTATACCTGTAAAAATCACCAAAAAAATTATTATGGGTAGTGCACCCTCATGAAAGTTGGTTGATACCTTCCTAAACCATACAACCAACACGCAGAATTGGGACTAAGGCAACCTTTATTAATAACTGTTAAAAAAACGTTTCCAAATACATTAAAATAAAAAAACTAACACTCCAAATTTAACACTCGACATTACAAACTACCATGGACCATTAAACAAAAATACAAGAGCTGTTAAAAACATAACAAAAATTGTAACAGCACCCGTGTGCATTAGTTTTTGTTTCGTTATAATTTTACCTATTTTCATATTTTCTTTATTGTAACCGCTTTTTACGTCACAATGATTTTCCGCTAGCCGTCACGTGACCTTAGTTTAAATACCGCTACACGTGCGTAGTTTTTTCCAAGGCTCACAGAAATTCGGCGGGTAACCACCTACGCCTTTATTACCGTTGAACTCAGAATCTTCTAGAGCGTTCGCTCCAACACGTCCTATAACGGGATCGCTGTAAAAGTTGGCACCTGAGAGTCGCTTAGTTTTCTTAGTTTTACGGATCTCTCCGACATCGGAGCTGATGCCGCTATAAAAGTGATCCGGACGGGTGGGAGGGAACGATTTGCTAAGTTGATCAGACTGCTATGCTCTAAGTACTCGCCTTGAGTGCATACTACAGTTAAGTTTTAGCAGAAGCAGCAATTGTTTGTAGTCTGTCTTTTTCTGAATTATCTGACCGAAAAATAATTAAACTGACGTTTGCCCTTTGCAGAAGATATCCTCGCACTCATAAACTGACACCATCTGCTACTTGAGATGGAATTCACAATTCAGTAACTTTCTTCTTAACAAGTTCTGCATTTCAACAGTTTGGAGATGGGTCAGTGGCCTATCACATGAGCTGTAAACCATCCGGTAATTATAACTCACTTTATCCTGTTTTGTATCATAGTATCGTTCAATGAACTGTACATCGCACACACAACCTTGAGTCGTCTCATAAACGTCCTGAAAAAACTGCTGTTCTGTCATGTGTTCAGTTATCCAGAAGCTTATATCATGAATGTAGGTTGGAGGAAAGAAGCTGAACGGCACAAACTTCCTAAGGTCTGGTAAGCCATTATCCTAAAACATGACCAGATTACACCAATTAGTTTATTATTTTAACTAAAGAGAAAATGGCTAACTCTACATTGTAACACTAGAATCTAACATCACTTCAAGTAAACCTGTCACTTGATTAGCTTTGTCCTACCTGTAAGGTTGAAAACTGCACCTTGAATCTTTTATCCTGGGACCACAGAAGTCTCACATCAGGGATCCCACATAAAGTCATGACTAAGTCATCCAGGTTGATTTCCATCAACCAACACAAATACTTGTCAGCAAACGTTTCAGGACTGAGAACACTGGCATCTATTAAACCACAAGAGAGTATCAATCTTTGTTCATGGTACAACTCTCGTTGTGTTGAAGGTTGAAAGCACTTGCTGGTGCAAAGCGGAGGAGAGATGTCATGTCCAAGATAGTGTTTCTCCAGCCTACAGTAAATGCACTTCTCCTGCAAAGTTTCTTTTCCACATTCACATCTGATGTCTGCACTCGATGCATTCCTGAGATTGTGGAATTTTGTCTGTTTTCCACATTCCAACTCGGTGATCTCTTGATTGAGTAAGTCATCAGCAGTCGAAATACCTTCCTGAGACAAGCCCCTACAGCTGTTTTCAATTCTTAGACCATCAAGTCCAGAACACATCTTTGTTATAAACAAGTCAAGAATACTATCAAGTTCTTTTTTAACTTCCAAAGCTGTTGCACCATTCGTAAAAGTCTTCACTGCTATCATTTTGTGACATATGGGATGATTTTCAGAAGATGGAGGAAAGAAATAATCAATTTCAATTCCACTCATGACAAACAATGCACCAAACTCCTGCAGACTCTGCAAAACTTCACTTAAAAGTGACACACCTGTGCGTCTGAATGATTGGTTTAGTTGTCCCTCTGCTTCACCTGAGCCACAAACATTTAACTTCTCTAATTGTTCACTGATATTATCTATACTTTCCGAGCGTTTGAAAACAACATTAGCCTCACCAATTGGAATATCTGAAAAGAAGCTTTTGAGCTTGTTGCTGATGATGTAAAGAGGATTGCCAGGGACAAAACTTAGGCTCTTTGTGGGATAACAGTATGACATAAAACTGCTGTTATGGGTTATGAAAGAACTGTGGAGAGAAAAAAGAGCAAACTGGAAAATAAATAAGCACGAAATACCTTATATAAATGAGTGGTAACTTTGTCTATAAAATTTAAATGCTAATTTAAAAAAAGAAAATAAATATTGTAAATTAAAGTTTGGCTTACGGAGAGTGTAACTTACTCAATGTCAGGTACAGCTTCCATTGGTACCCCATGCACAAACACATGAGTTAGACCATTGACAGTGTGGAAGCCTTTACCAAGCTGTCCACGGAAGCCTGCACTTTGGTATGAACCATAATCTGCACTTCTGAAAGGATACACGGCGTTCAGAATCAAATCTATAGTGAACAAAACACAATAAATAACTGTAGAAAAGAACTCTCTTACATGGTACATGTCTACTGATAAATCCCAAATATAACAATTCCTCATGGCCTTCTCCTCACAAAAATAAGCCCTTTGAAAAATAAGCCCCACTGCACCTTCTCTGTCTTAAAATGCCCTCTTTTAACGAGCCCATATGTCATGATATCCTCTCACTGTAATCTCTTGCTTTATAATATGTGGGCAGGTGATGATAATAATATTCTCTCTTGTATGTGGGGGACTTGTTCATGTTATGTTGATTCACTTACTTCTGTTATCAACTCATGACCTAACTCGTAATATCCCCCCCACGTAGTCACGTTTGGGTCGTCAGGCAATTTATATGCTATGGCGTGATAATCCAAAAAAAGGATTCGTAGGATTCTGATACAAACTTTAAGTACAATAGCTGTAGAGTCACTGTGTCTAACCTGCCTTAGCAGCTTGATACACAACCTGCCAACTATTTCCAAACTGTCTTTTGGGATTATCCAGGGGTGTTCCACCTTGTCCTTGGCAAAGACTGACACAAAAACAATAGCTGTAGAGTCACTGTGTCTAACCTGCCTTAGCAGCTTGATACACAACCTGCCAACTATTTCCAAACTGTCTTTTGGGATTATCCAGGGGTGTTCCACCTTGTCCTTGGCAAAGACTGACACAAATCTCACCCTTTTCAGGACTAACATGTTTTGCCGCGCTTGCAAAGAATCGCTTTAAAAGCTCTCTTGATTTACCAATGTTCGACTTCCCACCAAGGTGCGGAAAGTTGAAAATCACGCGATCGAATATTCTCGAACCAAATGTTCGGGAAAGATCCGTTGCATCTACTTCGTGCAGGACCTCGACGTTTTCGAAAGATGATAATTTCTCAATATTTTGTAAAGCGAAGTCACTGTTCGCTAACGCAGGAACTGAGTCGAGTGATGTTGCTATGATTTTAACTGATGTTTGTGATAATGCCGAAGCCAGACAAAGAGTAAATGAAAAGTTCCCATCTCCGACAACTAAAACATCATTTGAGTATAAATCTGGATCGAGTAAAGCCATAATCAAGGCGCATTACAACTCGTTTCTTGGGATCAGATCCTACATTGCATTGCCGCCATTTTGAAATCGCGCTTTCAATCAAATTGGACTGCGGTTTCATTTTATGGACCCAGTTTTCGCTTCATTGACTTTCGTTGAACGCCTTGTTGTTTTCGTTGTTTTCTATATGGGCGGATGGGTGAGAAGCATACCTTTTCATGTTTTTAAGAGGCATTTCAGATCGATTAGTTTGATTAGGTTTCGTTTGGTCATGGCGACAAGACGAAGCACTTTCGCTGGAGGCGAGAAAGAAGCGGATAGTCGCGTCAGATCTTTAACAGATACCGCCTTTCTGAAGTCGCCTAAAAAAACCTGCAGCTGCCTGGAATTGGTACGAGAAACTATTCCAGCTCTTACAGAGTGTGCTCACAAAGGACAAATGGGTAGAATAGGAGTGATAGGAGGATGTCAGGAGTAAGTATACTTCGAATAAAGAGGGTCCATATTGGTAGAGTCTACCTTGAATTTCATAATATATGGGACCTTTTGATTTGTTTCTAGTCTTGTCTTAGAAGCGTTCTTAAGTTATATATTGAAAGAAAGGTTAAATTAAATTACCATTGGTGAAGTAAACATTGGCTTATGTTTATTTAACAAGGCATAAGACATCGCACAGCCAGTTTCTTGGTGCAATGTGTATCATTGGGCCATATACATGTAAAAAGAGCCATACCCAGTCCTTGGTCAGTGTTGTAAATTTATGCAAAAACTTTAAAACTGAACTGAACTTTAAGCTGAACCACAGTCAAACCTGTATAATATGTCAGTCTTGGAGAATGGCTAAATGACCTCTTACAGCACAGGTTGACCTCAAAATACAGTTTTGAGCAGCCTCTAAGAGTAAATAAAGAAAGGGAGAGGGTTACAAAGAAAAGTATCCTGTTTGAATATCAATACAATATAAAACAAAAACACAACAATGAAAGTGTTTTTTTATCTTAAAAATAAAAAGAAAATCTGACCAAAAGAAGACATGGGTAGTAACACGTCATCAGTGCGGAATTTCTCCAGTCATTGCTTTGATGTCATTTTGCATATGTTATTTCTACAATGGTTTTGGTTGTTAGGTGAAACAGTAACAAGTTAAAGCCAAGCTATTATTACCTAAATAAAAGATTTCTATACATGATAACAAAAAGTGATATTTTTTTGCAGGTACACTGGTGCTCCCTATTTTGCAGCAATATCAGCTTTAAAAGCAGTAAGTTTATTCTATGTAACAATTGCTGAAATGTGAAATTTTTGTAACTTATGAAAAAACCGTGAAAATACTGGTCTATGGGCATCCTAATTTTCAGCACTGTACATTGTACTCACCATCAACTAACTCTGTTTCTTCATTTTTTGTCTATGAAATTTTTAATTCTCAATTTTTTTTTCAGATTTTTTTCAAACAAACACTCATGTAAAAATTAAGTGATTGTAATAATATTGTAATCATTTTTGATTTGCAGGGAGCAGATTTGTCTCATGTCTTCTGTACTAGTGATGCATCCGTGGTGATAAAGTCTTACAGTCCTGAACTCATTGTTCATCCACTCTTGTTAGTACTAAAAAACATAAATGTAATTAGAGATACTTTACATTTGAAAGCAATGCCAAAGAAATTCCATTTAAAGGGACAGGTTCACGGTTCAGCGCATACTCATTTATCAAATTGCTGTTTTCTGCTGGGACATGTTGTCCTGTCTATGCAAGCAATATGATCTTGTCATAATGTTTTCAAAGAACTAATCTGCACACTCCCCTGGCAGTCACTTGCACTTGATCAACTTAAATGTTTGCAAATAGCTGTAAATTAATCAACCATGGAATAAAACCTTCGGGTCAGCGATAAATTTAACGTTGGTAGTGTTGGCATAATCCAGTAATTTTTTTCGACTTTAGTTTTCTTCCATCCTACTTCAAGTTACTCTGAAATGCACTTCTACTTTGAAATACACTCTGAGATTGCCAAGATACATGTGAGTGGGATTGCCAACCGATAGAATTAATAATAAATTGGAAAAAAGTAATTTGANTTTGATTTGCAGGGAGCAGATTTGTCTCATGTCTTCTGTACTAGTGATGCATCCGTGGTGATAAAGTCTTACAGTCCTGAACTCATTGTTCATCCACTCTTGTTAGTACTAAAAAACATAAATGTAATTAGAGATACTTTACATTTGAAAGCAATGCCAAAGAAATTCCATTTAAAGGGACAGGTTCACGGTTCAGCGCATACTCATTTATCAAATTGCTGTTTTCTGCTGGGACATGTTGTCCTGTCTATGCAAGCAATATGATCTTGTCATAATGTTTTCAAAGAACTAATCTGCACACTCCCCTGGCAGTCACTTGCACTTGATCAACTTAAATGTTTGCAAATAGCTGTAAATTAATCAACCATGGAATAAAACCTTCGGGTCAGCGATAAATTTAACGTTGGTAGTGTTGGCATAATCCAGTAATTTTTTTCGACTTTAGTTTTCTTCCATCCTACTTCAAGTTACTCTGAAATGCACTTCTACTTTGAAATACACTCTGAGATTGCCAAGATACATGTGAGTGGGATTGCCAACCGATAGAATTAATAATAAATTGGAAAAAAGTAATTTGATTAATGAGCATGCGGTTAACCATGAACGTGTCCCTTTAAATGTATCCTGGAAACTTTCATTACTTATTTCAAAAACACCTTTTATGCTTGAAGTTGTCTGTTTTCCCATGAGTTGTTGCAGGAGCTAAAGGCTGTATGTAGTACATGTAGTTTGTAGGAAAAGGCCTCCTGTTAGCTGCAGCCCTTTACTAACAGCTCACTGTGTTTCCCCAGGGATAAAAAAACAGCTGTGAAAGAGGTAAAAGATTGGCTGTCAAGACTTCATTGCCTCGTGATAGGCCCAGGGATGGGAAGAAATCCAACAATAATTGAGAATGTTAAGGTAACTTCATAATTTCTTGATTCTAACTATTGTTTTGTAATAATTGCAAAATGTGCACTCTGCTTACTTTGTATTTTTCTTTTTGTATCCAGGGTGTTCTTGAACTTGCAAAAGAACAAAACAAACTCCTTGTCATAGATGCAGTTAAGTAAACTATTTAATGACTCAACTTACTGGTAACTTTTAGGTGTGTGTGTGTGTGTGTGTGTGTATGTGTTCTCTTTTGCTTTTGATGATCAATGTTTCTTTGGTAAATTTTCACCTATATGTATTTATCAGTACAGAATTAAATATTTTTTCTTGCTGGGTGTTTACTCCTATACTAAATTTGTAAAATTGTTAGCCAGGAAAAAAGACTGTTTAATTTTTTTTATAGGATGGGCTCTTTATGGTCACCTCATACCCTGAAATAGTCAAGAATTACACCAAGGCAATACTAACACCAAATGCAGTGGAGTTTTCAAGATTATACAACACCATGGTACTGAAATTATAGACTGCAAATGTAATTATTAATTTGTTCTGAAATATTTTGGCTGGATCATTAATCAAAAAGGACAGAGAAATAGAAGATTAAAGATTAAAGCAAATGTAGTTTTTATAGAATTGAAGTAACTGCCTATTTCAACCTGTATCCCTGAAAAAGCTGTATACATGGTGACCCTGTCCTTCCTTTTAGAGGCTCTTCTATCTTCAGTGGCTTTAAGAACAACAAACAGACATATTATGTGCTTCATATCCTCTTCTAAGTGTATATAGAAGTGGATATATGTGAATATGCAGTGATTATTATTTTCCAGGGTAAAGGTTTTTAATTTACCCGGGGGACAGAGAACATGTAAGGAAATATTGTCAACTTTTACTCCGATTCCTTGGGATGTCAGTTGTCACGTCATAACTAGTGTATAATATAGCTGTTTGTACCAATTTCTAGTTTGGACGGGAACCTGATCCTTCAATAGACTCTTCAAGTCATGTGACCCAGTTATGCAGAGAGTTTGGAGGGGTCACGATATGTCGAAAAGGACAAGAAGACATTCTTGCAGATGGAAAGGATGGTAAGAAATTTGGCTTCTATGTTATTATAGAAACTTGTGAGCATTCTGTTTTTGTTTCTGAGAGTGGCATGAAGAGCCCCCAGACCCTCCCACCGGCTTTTGGTAGGGTAACTGAAAGAGCAGCGAATCCTGTAAAAATCCGTCTAAAGTCAGTGGAGTCAATGTCATGATTTCTGGAGAGATAATCGTAGTTTTTTTGTTCCAACCCTTTGTACCATTGTATAGTAGTTCATTGTACAACTGAAGGAAGCAACAGAAGGTGTGGAGGACAAGGTGATCTTTTGTCTGGATCCATGGGAGTATTCTTTCATTGGGCTGATACAACATTCAAGAAAAAGACCAAGGAAGAAAGGTATTCATGTAATAAATAATAATAAATGTCTTTATTGCTCGTTAGATAAAAATACATATCTAATGTTACAGGATAAAAAGATTAAAAGTTCAGCTAAATTACAATAGAGTAAAAAGATTAACAAATGTGAAAACTAGNAGTTCATTGTACAACTGAAGGAAGCAACAGAAGGTGTGGAGGACAAGGTGATCTTTTGTCTGGATCCATGGGAGTATTCTTTCATTGGGCTGATACAACATTCAAGAAAAAGACCAAGGAAGAAAGGTATTCATGTAATAAATAATAATAAATGTCTTTATTGCTCGTTAGATAAAAATACATATCTAATGTTACAGGATAAAAAGATTAAAAGTTCAGCTAAATTACAATAGAGTAAAAAGATTAACAAATGTGAAAACTAGATACATATATCTGACATAAAATATCATAAAAGGTTGTATTTAAAAATTAATCTATTTACAAATGTGTTATTATAACGTTCGGTGTTTATCTTGGGCCTTTGGCAGCTTTTACGTCTAAGGTTGTAGGTTAAATTGTTCTTTTCTTGCGGTAAGCAAACCTTCAGAGGGTGGTAATCACGCTGTTTAACTTTTTAAAAATCGCTTTATGATCTTGTTTTTTTCTACATACTCTCAGCACGTGTACACATTTGTTGGCCTTGCACAGTTTAGCTTTTATGTGTGCAAAAAATTTTCAGTCACTCCTGAAAGATCAAACCTAATAAATCAAGAGTGGCATGTCCCGCGCGGGATCCTTTGATTTTCAGTTAAGAGGTTTATAATGACTGTTACAAGGCAGTAAACGTCTTCACAGTCAGCCATTAGAGTCTTGGTTTACAACAAGAATAATAGAAATATAGTTTCAGCATATTACTCACGGTTCTCTGCAGTTTGCTTTTCTGGTCTCGTGCATCTACGGTGGGATAATGTACCGCAGGTCACGTGCACCAGTGTTGGGAAATTTTTTATCACAGGCCGCGGGTACTACTTACTCCTTTTACTTGTAAATACTAAAACAAGTGGTTTTACGAGATTTAAAAAGGAAATTGCAAACCTGGTAATAAGCCTTTTCATAGAAACTAATGTATTTACAGTCTGAAATGTCATCCATCTCTTCGCGCCACCCACCCCCCCCCCCACCCTCCAACGGACGGAAAGGGGAGGGGGTGGGGCGAAGGGACGGATTGCATTTCAGACTATTGTATATAACGTTGTATTTTTTTATCGCTGTCGGAAATTTTTACGCCAATCAGTGCCTATTTATTGAGCCCTCCTTAATCAAGATGTTGTTTCCATTTAACTTATTTATTTTACTGCACTAATTAAACTTTAACCTTTAAAAGCGAACACATTACATTTTCTGTTGCACTTACAGAGCATGCGCATATGGTCGAACATTGGTAGCTGCCTATGGCGCTTGCGCTTTAACACGAACCTGCAACAGACTGGCGTTTGCAAAGTACAAGCGGAATATGACTACTACAGATATGATCGCAGAGATTCACGACGCATTTCAATTGTTATTTCCTGAGAAAAAGTCAGATGAGAACGTAACAAGACAGGAACACACTGTATGAAGTAATTCAGCGGACTTTGTCAAGGAATTTTATTGATTAGGTCGAATTAGGCATATTTTCGATATTTACAAGATCTAAATGTTTAATACATGCAGAGATTACTATTTTAGGGCGTTACGATCATATGTTTTCATTCTTTTGGGGGAAACTTTAAAAAATCAGTTTAACGTTTTTCAGCTTTCCTCAATGCTGTTTTAACCTTCTACAGTTCTCCTTATTGGCTTTTAATACTGTGTAAGCTTCTTTTCTTTCCTGTAGTTTGTAGTAAGATAAAACAGTCGGTAAGTACGCAAATTGTCTTAAATTTCGTGACATACTCCTTTTTTCTCACAGAAAACCTTAGTTACTTTAGAAATATGGGTGACTAGTTGACCAGGATTCAAGAGCAGCGTTTCGGGACATGAATTCTTGTCATTTGCATATTTCTGCAAACTCTGTTCAGCGTTGCTAAACCCTCTCAAATTTTAAAGTCTATCCTGGAGAAATGTAATGCTTTTGTTGTGTTGGCCATTTAAATGAAGCACCTCATGGGTGCTCGTCTTGAGTCCATGGTCAAAATTCTAATTGGGGCGTGTTACGGTCGTATACTACATTAAACATTTCAGTCGCGCTGGTTCTTTGTTTAGTTTTGCACATTCCTTTTACCTTCTTTTCATTTATCGCAATTCATATTCTGTTAGACTTCTCTGCATAATTTCCTTTGTTTTTAGATCATTTTGTAAGTTTCATCGTTTATGTTAGATTCATTTCGCTTCAGAGTTCGCAGCAACATCATCTCAGTTTCGTTCAGTTTTGTTTGCCATCATACCCTTTTCCGTTCAACTTTGTTCAAGTCACACAACGTTTGTAAGTACTTTCGCTTAGTTTGTTTCCTTTCATGTATTTTCGTCGTTTCATAGCTGTCATTTGTTTTCCTTAGTAACTTTCAATTTTGTTTTATTGTAACAACCGTAATCGTAATTCGATGTTACCGTAATAACAAAGGAGTTGGAACCGTGGGACTACTCGCTATATAAGGGCGTCTACGGCAGTTTTTGCGTGATAGCATCACCGAGTTATCATTTTAAACGTTTTCCATCGGGGCTTTCAAATTGAAATTCGGGATTTTTCTTAATTTAAACTTTCGGTCCCGTTGGAAGTGAAAAAGTTAAATTCATGGCAGTGATTGTAGTGAGTTTGTTACAACTCTTTTTTTGTTTTCCAGTTTTTGCATGGGACCTATAGGTCCCGTTCGTGCACATTCCCTCTGGGCAGGCCTGTGTCCAGAAAAGCTGGTAAATAAATAAATAAATAAATAAATAAATTTGAAAATCGTGAAAGGGCAATGATCATTTGTCCTCATACCAGATCCTCAGTGCAAATTACTTGAACTTTGATTGACTTCACTTTTTTGGAAAAAAGTGAAACAGTTGTACACTGCAAAATAAATTGTACTGACCATGTAATATGTAAATCATGATAACAAGGGTTAATTATAGTAAGATAAATGTGAATAAAATGTGATAAGTACTATAATATTCAGTGAATTGCTTGGGTTTACCTCACTGACTGAAAAACCATGTCCCTAAAGTGGCTGATTTGAGGATAAATATATCGTCCTCTTAGCAACGAGTATACGAAAGACATCAAGATCTTTACGTTAAGTAACAATGTCCAAGCTCATGTCTTCTTTCACAGAAAGCTTCGGAAGTCTTCAGAAACCGTCAGGCGACCTTTGGAAAATTGTCCGAAGGAATAAATGAACAACAACGTTTTAATAGTACCTCCATTTGAGTTACACAAACTTGTGGTAAAATAATATACGATTATTTTTCTTACCACCATTAAACGACTCTAAATTTTCAGCTTATTTTTTGCGGTTAAAAGTTAAGCCCACTAAGACCCCCAAACAGCATCAGAGCAAGTCATGTGTTAGATTTACAATAGTGGGACCATGAAATATAATTATTGTCTCATGATTCCCCTTTCACTCTTGTCCCTTCCTTGAGCACTCGTGATTTTTCTTTTGAATTTGTTACTCCTCCTTTTCCCCTAGATTTCGAGGCGTAACAAATTATTTATACGTGTGTTGTGAAAGGCTATCTCACTTGCAATCTCCATATCAGTAAATCAGTTTGTGTCTGGGGAAGGAGAGCAGCTGTTTATTAAAAGACCTCTCCAACTTTGCGGGCTCTGACCATACGTATCTTCCACGAGGCAAAACGGTAAACGTTGCCGTGCCCGACAATAGAAACTTTGATCTTATATGATCGATGACTCTGGACGTGGCCTACAAAAAATTAGTGTCAATAGCTCTCATACAAATGCCCTTGAAAATTGGGAGCTTTATAGAGAGAATCACAGAGAAAAATACGAAATTTCTCAGGATGCATTTTTATCAAAAATGTTTCCTTAAGAGAGATTGCAGATAACAAATGAACCAAGTTTGCAGTTCAATCGATAAGCTTTTGATCTAATGATACCGCATCTGACAGTATGTCGCCAGTCATCAAAATTTGTTCGCACTTCAGCCCACCGCTAAGTAGTTGACATTTTCCATCTCATTCAGACTCTCATTATTGAAACTATTAATCTTTGATGATGTGGCTTGTCGCGACCCATGAAAGCTGAGTGCGGTCATTCATGGAAGGAATAATTCACTGTGTTTATTATGTTGATGTCATTTTTATCCGAATTTAATTTCGTTATACAAAAAGACACCAAATTAATTTAAGAAAGAGGTTTTGTATCTAGTTGTAGTTTCAAAGCTTTAAATATTTGATATATACGTGTTCAGCTCCACGTGTTTTCAAACCAAACAACAGCGAGCTTTTAATAGGGAATTATATTGGTATCAGTGTTATTGTTCATAAGTGGTTCTGAAAATTAGGAAAAGAAAAAGAAAAGGTGTGTAAAAGCAGGAAAAGGGTCCTTTCCCGGAATCCTTGTGACAACCACTGAATAAACGAAGACATTTTAGAATGTTTGACATACAATTAGCCATTAAACTCTGCGGAGTTTTTGTTTACAAGTTAGTTCTACACGCTTCCGTTGTGTGACGTTCATTGTGTGCGTTAATTGTGTTAAAATTCCCCCAGGGGAATTTAAACATGATGAACAAGTCAACACCTTTTCAATGAGTCGTGAAAGAAACGGAAAATTGTATGTTCCTGAAAGTGACCTCAGAGAGATACAGATCCTAGAACAGCCGGCCTGCTGACAGAAGTATTAAGGATTTGGCGTGCAGATAAGAGATCAAAGAATAACCCAACAGCAAAAAAAGGAAATATCCACCGAAGGGGGCGTGCGCACTCATGTGTAAACGTTAACTCCTTGAAATATTCCGCTAGCCAGTCCGTCGCGCATTTTCCTATGCTTTGTGTTCGAGGGAACATCACAATTAAACCGTGCATAGTTTACATTTTTCACGAAGACGCGAGGATTACTCAACATTTTCTCACAGTCGGCGACATCAGACAGTCTTATTTAAAATCAGCGTGCTCAAGTTGAAGTTTACTTTTTGTGGAAAGGAACATCATGGCGCGAACACTATGGAGGAGTTTAATCTTATTTTCACTACTCTTCTCTTGTGAAGCTTCGGACTCTGTAACATTTGAAGTTTTCGAGGAACTCGAACCAGGAACATTTGTGGGAGATATTTCAAACAGTACAACAGTTAAGGCACTGAACGCGAATGAGAATTTTAAACAGTTTATTCTCAGCTTTCAGTTCCTTGTGAATCAAGTAGCATTCAGAATAAACGCAAGTACAGGAATAATTCGCACCAAAACTAAGTTGGATAGGGAAGACTTATCACTTGTCGACGATACTTTTCAAACTCAAGTGCGAGTATCCAAAGGTTTTGGAATCGTGAATATGCCGATAGCGATTAAAGTTTTGGATATTAATGATAACAGTCCATATTTTCAGGAAACAGTTCAGAACATTGAAATCTTGGAATCTGCTCCGTTGGGCGCTGAGCTGGAAGTAACGGTTGCCGAAGACAAAGACATCGGCAGCAACACAGTTCAAAGTTACAAAATCATCAGTGGAAACGAGCGGGGTGATTTTAAGCTAAGAGTTTCTCGTCCTACTTCGGAACTCACGAAAGTCAAACTTGTGGTGGCGAAAAAGCTAGACCGCGAAAACAACGACAGCTATTATTTGGTGATAGAAGCCAGAGATGCAGGTAACCCGTCTAGATTTGCGACCAAAGGTCTCGACATAACTGTTCTTGACTCAAATGATCACATCCCAAAATTTAGCAAGGATCTCTTCACCGGTGAAATAAGAGAAAATTCACCTAATGGGACATTTGTGCTTCAAGTTAATGCTTCTGATAAGGACTTGGGTACGAATGCCGAAATCGTCTTTTCTTTAAAATCTCCACCACAATATGAAAACCTCTTCACGTTGGACGCGCAAACTGGCGAGTTGCGAACTAACGCTGTTTTGGATTACGAGCTCTCTAAGGTTTACCAGTTGGAAGTTACAGCAAGAGACAAAGGTCCAGACTCAATCCCTTCAAGTGCTGCTGTTAGAATCCAGGTTAGTGTAAAATGTTTACTTGCTTTAATAGAGTTAGAGGACTCAGAGTCCAATTTTGTGAACAAATGCCATGTTCGAGGAATAGGAAGGCTCATTGTTTTGCAATTTGTCGCGATTTTATTTTTAGGCCAAACAGTCTCTTAATTGTATAACTATACATCATTATGTTGCCTTTCATCTCTATTGTCCGTAAATGGTTGACTTTTTAGTCTTGGTACGCTTATGTTGAAATTTACAAAGAGATTTACATGTTATGATAACAGCAGTTGACAGACGAACAAAAAAGACTGTTGAAAGGAGAACCAGACATGAAATTGTTTTATGATTACCCCGCTTGCCCTAAACGAATTGAAACCTCGTTTCTTTGCCTCGGTTTAAGAACTAAAACGTTAGAGCATCTTTTATTTCTTAATCTTTAATTGCTGGAAGCCTGCTAATTTAAACAAAGACCCTTTGTTAAAACGTTGCCTAAAACTGAGATACGCGAAAATGAACAGTTGATTCTGAAGAATTCTCTTTGAATCGCAAGCAAGGGTCTCGCGTTATGTTGTTATATTACTTCACTTAGCCTCCTACTCGACTCAGCAAGAATTATTGCTTTTAAAGTTATAAGAAATTAAATTTAGATTATAGATCGCTTTATGAGATATTGAGGCAGTAATTTTTGATGGTTTTTGTTTTGATCGAGACTTAAATAGTAGCGAGAGTCTGTTCTCCAGCAGGTTGTTGAAGCTTGCTGTGTTACATTTTAAGTTCACTTTTGATTCAGTAAATACAGTGTAGATAGATTGTGTTTGTAAACGAAAGAGATAAACATCAGTCGTTGATTAACTCTTATCATGCGAATCCTTAAACTTCCCCGCTGTGAGTCCAATGATAGTGGTTTATTAGACACAATACAGTCTCTTTTGGTGACCTGCCTTTGTGATTAAAATCCTAAATATTCTTTGTCAAACAGCGTATCACTTTCAAAGATACACAATAGCTTTCCATCATCTTTTAGATGAAGCTTTACTGAAAGCCTGCTAATTCCATATATATTGCTATGAATCAGAAATGAAAAGTTCGCATGTTTCACTATACTTGCTTGCAACGTGCCTATTTATGATTTAACACCGGCGGTCTATCTGTATTTCCTATCTTCTTTGTGTTTGTCACTATTGTTTCGAAGGCTTTTCCACAGCGGTCTAATCCTAAATGACACCGCTCTTAAGATTTACATTGACTTTAAAAAGGCCCATTGAAACAGACTAATCGTGTTTGCATATGATTTTCACGAATGTAAATACTTTCAACTTGCCTCCGCAAGTCATTATAAAACGTTTGTTCAGTGTTTTCTCTTGTTAAAAGCCTCTGAAATCGGACCGTGTTTATCTCGAAGGCGTATGACTTTAGCTAGCAAATTAACCCATCTTCTGAGACAGCTGTCTTTTTATCTCTCAAAGCTTTGCTCAAGATTCACGTGTGTGGTCCTCTTCCAAGCATTCCAGCTATGATTTTTTATTAGCGTCTAAATCACTAAAAATTAAAAACATCCGTGCTAACAGAAATTAATAAACTTCATATTTCCATGAGTTTTGGTGTAATTAAAAAATCCGCTCTTGCAGCCGGATATGTTTCAATTATGTTTGCTAATTTTACTGTTTCGGTGTGCTATTTCATCTATTCATAGAGAACCCTTGAAATCTGTGCGACCTGAAATGTTTGTTCATCACTAAGAAAGTAAAATATTTAAATTGTCTCCAGCGTGGATCCTGAAAGTTGGGTTCTGTTTCATTTATCCTGTTCCCCTCAACAGCCATTTTCTTGTTCCTCGGTGAAGTCAACCTTGTGGGGTAATTCAATTTCATTGCAGAATAGTAAACATACTTTCTTTTAATCTCTCTTAAACCAGTTTTTCACTTTAAAAGCTTAGGGTTATGAGCAGCTTTTAGTGAATAAAATACCCCGTTTAAGAAACTAAACAGACCCTATTCTAATTAAATATTCCAAGGTGACCAGGTTTTTTTTGACATGATAGAAAACCTGAGTTATAAAATGTTCGGAAGGAAAGATGAAAAAACTTGAGAAAGAGGATTTCACCGTCATGAACAGCTTTAATTATTTTCACCTCTAGTCAAGATAAATAGAGATATCCTAAAAGTTACCAAGCCTTGCTATCAGGAAAGAAACAAGGCTTCCATTTTCTTGTTCTGTTCAAACTCACTCTAAAAAAGTGTTTAGTGCCTTACTGAGTTCTTATTTGATTGCTCACACTGAATATTTCATCCAAAAATTAAAAGCTGGAAGGCTGACCACGGGAAAGTACTGCTCAGTCGATTTCATCTGAATGGTGACTCTGCACAGGATTAGTTGCAAGCTACAACCACATGACATCATTAGCTTGTTCTGTAGGAAAGTAATGGGGAAGATAACAGGCCTGTTTAGGGTTTTTTGCAGACTCATAATTCCAGACACCTCAAGCGAACTTTACTGAGGATTTTTATTATCATTATTTAAGATGTCCACCATGGTCACTCCAAAAAACGTTAAAAATGAATGATTTCTAGACTACCACATAACCTTGCTTGTCTTATTTGTACATCGAAAATATGATTCAATTTCTGCAAGTATAATATTTCTTAGTAACAATTTCAACGAAAATGATGACCCCAACTGTTAGTACGAATGAGTTCTAGGACTTTCTTGTCAAAAACTAGATAGACGACCCAAGAATATTTAGAAGTGCTTATTAATATTCCTCCCTGTGGATAAAATGATATTTCTTGCTGGAGGCAAGTTTTCATTTGTAAATTTAGGTTGATGACTCATAAAAGAAGATACACATTTTTGATACACAAGCCGTGAGTAACACACGAAAGACGTTATTGGGTTTTGTTCGCTTTTAGTTGCTTTGCATTTTCCCTATTTGGTTATGCGAACGCTAGCAAAACATCCTAAGTTTGTAGTGCAATTGAAAAATTTTGCATCTTAATGATTTTATTTTTTCCGGACCAAATCGCGCCTTAAATGGAGGCTTCATGGTTTTTCTTGAATTGGCTGGAAAACAAAAAATGAAGATCTAATATTGGCATGTTATGTAGGAAGTTCGCGTTTTTGGCTTTCCTTTTCGTCATGAACTCGTTACGCCGATTTATTTAAAACAAACTGGTGTGGTGTCATTGAGAATGAACACAAAGTTGTTTATATCAAGCGATTCTTTCGCTTTTTGTTGTTTCATTAGTTTAGAAGCTATTTGTAAGTTGTTGAGGTGAATCCTGCTGATAGCAATACGTCTTTAGCGTGGTTTTAAAGTGATATGTGACCATGAACGGGCGAGAGCCAAGTGATAAGTCATCGGAATCGCGCCTGAGTAATTGCATAACGTTTTGATTTGTTCATCTGAATTACTTCTAATGAAAGCAAAAGTATAGAAAGTAATGAAACATCAACCAAAACTTGTCTAATTTACGGAAATTGTTGATATTTATCAACATGTACTCCGTTTTACCAGAATTTTCCTCTCGATGTTAGGTGCACGTTCACCCACGAAGCCCACACTTGACGCCCAAAAAAAGTATGATGCGATTATTATTAAATCTGCATAAAAATAGCTTTGATATGTTTTGGATTCCACGGTTTTGTCTGGAGTGAAAAATCAATGAGTTTTCTAACGAGAGCAATAGGAACAACAGTGAGCATTGTTTCTAATACGTTGAGAGTTAAGACCGAATCTG